CAAAATGAAACTGATCTATTTGGTACCAGTTTGTAAGTCTGTCATGGTTAAGAAAACACTCTGCTTAACTATGACTGCAAGACCTATTTCGGAGCCAAAAATGTTGGATCCTTCGTCAGTTGCTTAGGTGTAGCTGTAAACAAGAGCTCACCAGGAGAGCCAGTGCTGCAAACTAAAACTTGAGTCGGCTGATTTCGCGTAGCATACAGGATCCAGCCTGTAATTGGTTCTTTAGACACGAAGCTGATTGGATGATTTCTATGACCTTTGTTTTGTGAGGACATCTTGATCCTGTTTTAGCGTTAAGGTCATGAGCTAGTGATCCAATGTGTAAGATTTGCCGAAACTTTTCCCTTAAAGGCTAATTTGTCCCAAAATTTGAAGCGCAAAGTCACTGGGTTCGTTGTAAGCAATGAAAAACGCTCTGTGAATATGTTTGTTGGAAGTGACGTTCTGGCGAAATGCTTCGCCGACAGGACTAGCATGTATAATTATAATTTCGAAGTGTGAAAATAACTCGGTTATTGTTGAGAGTGAAAAACTAACTGAGGCTGGAAGGAGTGTCGTTATATAGATAACTTCGAAAGTATGTTGTAGAATGTTGATCAGAAAATGACATTGGATACAAACCCGTAGTCTCCTTGAAACGTAGAGATGCCCTCCGAAAAGGACTAACACTTACGCGGGTAAGTAGTAATTTACTCCGTAGAGCGTTACAGTTAAAGTTTTAATGCATCAGTCAATTCCACCTGCGCCCAGTCCCCCCCCCCTCCCGGGCTGACCCCCGGGCATCAGCATTTTTTTTTGCCTTGGATGGCAAATTACCGGGGGTGGAGACTCTTGAGCTGTCATATCCCCCGGGGTGGGGACGAAAAAAGAGGACAAGTATTATTTGTTATGAATAGTTTTATAAATATGAAAGGATATGTTCTTCAAATAATATGAACAGAAATTTGATTCAATACCCCCAAAACGTTGACTCACATCGATAGCTCCAATTTCGCTATGTAATTCTGGCTTGATAAGCATTGAAGAAAATCATGCATGTCCTTGACAGATGAGCCAATCTGCTTTTTGTCCAGTAAAACCTTCTGTGTAGTACCCTGCGAGCCGAGTCTCCTTCGATCTTCCCAGATAAGTCGGAAAGAGTCGTTTCCTCTTTCCCGACTTATCTGGGAAAGATCGAAGCGACTCTGCTAGCAGGGTATCTGTGTAGTTATATTCAGATAGGAAACCGCGCGCGTGTCAAAAGCTCGGGAATTGCCCTGGGGTTGGCAAACTTAATGGTTTTAATCTTTCCATAAAAGTCTACGCAAGTGAAAATCCATACAAAAATGGCCAGTTTTTGTTTGGTTTTAAGGGCGAAAAACCCAGTGAAATCACCATAATCTTCTTCCATCTTCCTTTGAAAATTTCTTTAAAACGGTAGCATCCATACATTCATACAGTACCAGGCTTGCTTCTAAATCAACCTATTACCTCAATACTATCAAAACAAACTATGGTAAATTCAACTTTCGCTTTGCGGCTGTAAAAGTCTGGAATAACCTTGATGAAAGCATTAAACACCTCCCCCTTAAATCCTTTAAAAACAAAGTCATGTTAAACATCTTACAGTCTTACTGTTCGTGAGTCTTTTTTTTTTTTTCTTTTTCCTTTTTTTTCCTTTTATATATTCACTAATTCCTTGTTTGTTCTAGCTTTAGTGCCAACCTACCTCCTATGCCTAAACATTATTTAGCTTTACTCAGCTCGATTAGCTTTTTAGTTATTCTGAGGAAATGTTACCTTTTTTTGTATATATATATTATATTGTAAATTAAGTTAACTTTTTATTTGGTAATAAAGCTTATGTTGTTGTTGTTGAAATCCGATAAGCTGGCATTAATCGAAAGTACAGTGGAACCCCGTTAATGCGACCACCGTTGGGCCATAAAATCCTGGTCGTAATAACGAGGTGGTCGCATTAACGGGGTCCTCAAAATAATAAAATGACTCAATGGTTTTTACGTTTGGTTTGAAAGAATATGGCCGTAATAACGAGGTGGTCTTATAAACGGGGTGGTCGTAAGGCGGGGTTCCACTGTACGTCAAACGGAGAAGTCATTTTTGTGGCACGAGATTTTTTGTAAATGGGTTTTAGCAGGTTGACCCCAAGCCGCCAAACCGTATGTCAGATAAGGTAATATCAAAGATTGATAAATATTTAAAAGGGTAGTACGTGAGACGAAGTGCTGCTTACTTTTAATGCAACATTATCAATACGAGATTTCCAGCTGAAATTGCTGTCCAATAGGACACTAAGATATTTAACGTGGTCTTTACACTCAGTCATTTCAATCTTTATGTAATTAACCGAGTAGTTCAACTTACGTTGATATGGACGAAGATAACATAGTTTGACTTTTTAGCATTGAGCGTTAACTTATTTGCATTAAGCCAGTCGGAGACTTTGAGCAGGTTTTTTTAACAGACCTTAAATTAGTGTCAGCATACGCAAGTTTTGTCATCAGTAAAGAGAAAAATTGAGAAAATCGCTGAAGAAGTTATGAATATCGTTAATATAGATTAAGAATAACAGAGGACCAAGTACAGACCCCTGTGGGACACCACATGAGGTCATACATTCGGTAGATAAATTAAAACCTACTTCAGTTACTTGTGAACGAGAAGGTACGAGGCAAACGAGTCATTGATAGTTCCTCTGATGCTATGATGATCAAGTTTTTGAAGTAAGATCAAATGGTCGACGGTGTAGCTACGGTATCAAAGGCCTTTTTTAAAACTGGGAGCTCAAAATTTAACGTCCATCTTGGCTCCTCACCGCTGATCAATGCGGCTCTAGCCTGTTAAATTCCCGGATGTGACCGGGCATTCTACGCGACGACTTTTCGGAGAAAAAAAATTAGTCGAATTGACTATGCTGCAGAGAGAAGCTAAAAACGTTGAAAATTGTCACAGCCTTGGTACACGTGGGAGACAAACGTAACCTAAAAGGTAGCGCAAATATTCCAATGCAGCTAGTTGCAGAACCAGTAAAATTAAGCTTACTCTTCGTTGTAATCTAGGACCGAAACAAACGATAGGTGTGTAACGCTATCCAGTGGATAAATCTCTATCCAGAGGATGGCGCAATTGGTTTCAAAGGTGGTACGATTTTAGATAGACTAAACAGGTTGTGGCTTCTTCCACTTCTTCTTGAGTTGTTTTTGTACTGTCCTTTTATTGATAATTTTCACTGACATTATGCCAGAGGAGTCAGTTTCTTAGCAACAAAATCAAGATTTAAATGACAAGTTCGACGCTCTTTCGAAGGAAATGGCGCAGCTGAAAGAAAAAACATTCCACGCAACATCAGTGCCATTATTGACATTGTTAATGTCATACAAAATAATATGGAGGTTAAAAGTGTAAAAACAGAAACCCTATATATCTGTTATATAGGGCTGTTTTGTTTTACCTTAGAAGACATAAACACTTTGCCTAACATTTTACTGGATAACAAAAATTAGGTTATAGTATCAGTCACAGAAACCAAAATCCATGAATCCTAGAAGAAGTGCATAAGATTCACATAGCGCCACACGCACAACTACCACAACCCTGATAACCAGCACAACCCTTCCACCCACCACACCGAACACAACCCCCATAATACCATCAGGACAATCCTCAGTCAAAACCAGCACAACGACCATAACCAGCATAATAAACTGTCGAAAAAGTTTCTCAACGTCTTTTCTTGCTTAAAGCAGAATAATGGCGAAAACATTTTGCGAAACAGCGAATCTCTCATGGCGATGACACACGATGGCAACTGTTGTAAAGATTTCTTGTACTTTGGGCATTCTCAAGTTTTCAAGAGCTCTTTTTGTCTCTGTTTCTCCATTTTCTTCTTTGTAAATAGCTCCTGCTTAACTTTTTTCATAGCAATCACTTGCTTAAGCCGAAATAATCTCAGAAAACATTTTCAAAACCGCGCGCCATGTTGAACAAAACAAAGAAACCATCATCAGTGTATCTGTACTCTAATAGATCATTGTCAACGACCAATCACAGGGCGTGTAGCATTCCCATAATTGTATAAAACCACCTTAATTCTCACAACCACCACAAGCACCTCAACCCTCCCAACCTCCACAATCAGCACACCCAGCCGACTAACCCAACCCTCACAACCACCAAAACCTCGACAACTATAATCACAACTTTCAAAACCTTTACAACCAAAACAAAAAACACAATTCCCACATTACCACCATAGCCAGCATAATCTCACGACCGGCGAAAACTCCATAACCGACCCAAGTACCACCACCAACACAACCACAACCAACACACCCTTCACAAACAAAACACACACACCACAACCAACACACCCTCCATAACCAACACAACTAACACAACTAACACAACCAGCACAACTTTCACAAACTCCACAACCAACACACCCTCCACTACCATTTAACCAACACAACCCTCACAACCTCCACAACCAGACAATCTCCATAATCAAAACAACCACCACCCTCCACAACCATTACAATCAGCACAACCCTAACAACCTCGACAACTAACACAACCCCCACAACCAACACAAGCTCCAAAGCCAACATACCCTCTACAACCAACACACCTCCACAACCAACATAACCAACACACCCTCAACAACCACTGCAACCCTCACAACCGTCACAACCAACACTGAGAACACCCTCCACAACCATTACAACCAAAATATCCCTCACATTCTCCACAATCAATACACAACAACACAACACCAAATGCTTTATTTGCATGACCATAAAGGAATTACAGTATTGCAAAAGCTATTAGTCTAAATTTAAGTACTGATTCAACTAATTAGTACGTGCAAAACATTACAAAACGTTACAGTTCTCATTCATTAATTCATTGATATTAATTGGTTCTTAATTCAAAACATTGCGAGATAAATGAAACTACTTGACAGTTAATTAAATAATCAGAATTCATACGAAGACTATAATTTCATAGCACACTTTCACTAAACTTCAGTCCATAAAATCAAAGATCAAACCTCTTTTTATACAGAGACTAGACTCTTATTCGGAATGTATCTAATAAGAAATGATTTTCATCTTCAATTTTGTTACTTGTACAAAAGTGACGTATCCTTTCATTGCGAGGGAATTTTTCGTATCTACCTGTTTCAATTCTAAGTTGATGAGTACTTATTTTAAATCTAACTAATGCTTTTCTCGAAGGGTTTTTTCTTATTAAAACTAGGTACGGCGAGGGGCTATAGTCGTCTTTGATTGTACAATAAAAAATGAGTTTTTGTGATTGTTGAAGGGTTTGATTCCAGTAAGAGACGTATTTATTTTTCATTATGCCGATATACCGATTAACTATTGAGTCACTCAATGAATTACGGGAAAAGTCATAGTTTAGATCATAGTAGTCAACCATTTTCATGGTCATGAGATTAGAGTAAAAGCTAGTTTTTCCGTTATGATGAAGGTCAATTGAAATTTGTAAGGTCTGTTTAACTATAGAATCTTCGTCTTTACCTATCAGATAGTCTAAGTAATTTAGAATCTTTTTATTTATATCAATGATCATGGGGAATTTACCGTCTTCAGCTCTACAAGCAATGTTGGATGCCTTGTTATGTACTTGTAAATAACGTTTACAGAATTGCAAATGGGTTTTTTCAATTGCAGAGCTGTCCCAGGATTTAAAATCTGAATTAACAAAACACCCCAAACTTCACTGTTGTAGGTTAGAATTGGTGAAATCATCGAGTCAAAAATTTTACACGCAAGTGACGGCTTAAGACCATTCAAATTCGTGTGCCGCCTGAGGCTGAAGAGCGCATGAAGAGCTTTTTGTCGGAGATGTTCAAGCAAAACTGTAAAATTTCCGGAAGATGTGATGCGAGTTCCTAAGTAAGTATAGTTTTGGACAACGTCGATTACTTCATTGCCTATGCGGAAGTTATGTTCACATTTTCGTGTGCATCGTTGAAAAAGCATTATTTTGGTTTTCTTAGGATTTATTCTAAGCATTCATGAGTTGCAATATGAAGATAGTAAGTTAAGGCAGTTTTGTAGACCAAGTTTGGATGATCACGATAATATTATCAAGTCATCTGCGTAAACGAGAGAGTTGAGTCTGGTGTCATTTGGTAACACGAAAGGGTCTGATGAAACATTGTCAAACGAGAACGCTAGATCGTTAAGGTACAATACAATCTCCACAATACAATTTCCACAATCCACCACACCCTCCACAACCATTTCAACCAAAACAACAAACACAACCCTCATAACATCCACAACCAACACACCCTTCACAACCTACACAACCACCACAACCTCCACAACCGACTCAACCTTCGACCAACACAACCAACACAAACAATACAATTTACTCAACTAGCGCACCCTCAAAACCACCACAAGCCCTCTTACTACCAAAGCCGCCACATAGTGTTGTTAAAGTATGAAAGTATATAACACACCCTAGAAAACAAAAGTTGTCCTAGTTTGTCATGTATAACAGTTTCCTTTTATCAAAAGGAAATTGAGCAAGGTTTGAGTTATACTGTAACTGTAACCTTGAAACTCAAGCACTACTTTACATCAACAGTACGCTCTCAAACACAACACGATCACACCCACTGTCAAGTCACATCGCTCCAGACTTCCCGCGCTAGGGAAGTCCCACTTATACGCTTGGTCATTCCCTTTATCCACTTGAAAATTAAACTCTCCACCTACTACTACTAAGTAGCATAAAAATGTCAACAGTTTCCGAATTGGCACTTCTTGAGGGTTAATGGTTAGGTTCCCTTAATCTCAGTATCAGTCTGATAAATGACGTTTAATGAGGGCAAACTATCAGAATTCATTTCAATTCCTCCATCTTACATGTAACCTAAATTCAGCATACTATCTAGTATCACTGAAACAAAGGTAAGGGTTGTTTCAGTTGTGGAGGCTGCGAGGCTTGTGTCGCTGTGTTATTTGTAGAAGATGTGCTTAGTTGTAAGGGTTACGTTGCCGTGTTGTGATGGTTGTGAGGTTTGTGTCGGATGCGTTGGTTTTGAGGGCTGCAGTGGTTGTGCTGGTTTGTCTTTTTTTGGTTGTTGGAGTTGTGCTGGTTGCGGGAGTTGTGCTGATTGTGATAGTTGTGGTATTTGTGGAAATTGTGCTGTTTTGCTGGTTGTGTGGGTTGTACTAGTTGTGATTTTGAGGGTTGTAGTGGTTGTGTTGGTTGTGGAGTTTGGAAGGGTTGTGATGGTTAAGGGAGTTAGTTGGTTCTGGAGGCTATAAGAATTGTAGTGGTTGTGAGGGTTGTGTTTGGTTGTGGAGGCTGTGAATGTTGTTGTGGTTGGGGTGGTTGTGAGAGTTGTGTTGGTGGTGATGGTGGTTGTAAAGGTTGTGTTTGTTGTCTTTTTTGCGGAGGTCGTGGGAGTTTTGGTTGTTGTGGCGGTTGTGAGGGTTGTGCTGTGTGTTGTCATGGTTGCTGAATGTTGTGATGGTTGTGCTGTCTATGGTGGTTGTGTTGGTTGAAGTGGATGAATTGGTTATGGTGGTAACGTTTTGATTTATAGTGGTTCTGTTAATTGTGTGGGTTCGGTTTGTGTGTTGGTTGTTTTGGCAGTCGTTCTTTTGTTCGTTGTGTTGAAGATTCTAGTGGTTGTGGAGGTTGTTAGGGTTCTTGTGCTTGCGTTGGTTGTGGTGGTTGTGGAGGTTGTGGTTGTTAAGGTTGTGTTGTAACTCGTTTTAACAAAAATCAGTTAAATGTTAAGGCAAATCGTTTGCGTCTTTGTAAAGTAAAAAAGTAAAACAACAAAAAGCAAGCGTTTATATGAGAAAAAAGTTGACTCCATTTCCCGAGCCAACAACTCTAGCACATGCTTTGATTGTCTAGCTTTGACGGAGTTTACCCGGCGCCGAGCAAACTTTTCGTTTCGATCTCATGTAAACGGTTCGCCAAGTTTTGTAAGAAAATGAAGGAAACGTTGGCTCGGATATGCGAGTGACCCTACTACCAGGAAAAAATTTTCTTAATATATACGGGGCCTTACACTTCCTTTTCGAATAGACAGTCAAGGCCAATAATTGGGGCCTTTCTGATTTTATCCTCCTTTGTTTTTTCTTTTTCTACTAGAACTTTTGATGACTTATAATGGGCAGCTTCCATTTGCCGCTGCAAAGTTATGAAATGCTTTGGCTTTTTATGTGTTGCTTATCGACGACAAGCACCGGCCAGAATTGCAAAGTCTCAAATGGTGGTAAGTTAACCTATGCCCATCTCCTTATAAGGAAGCAAAGGGCGCCCACTCCTGGTAGTCTAGCCTGTTCCAGGCGTTTAGATCGTGGGGACAACGCGAACAGATGTATTTTTCCCGCCCTCTTAATTCGCACCGCCCTCCACTGTCTGGATGCCCGGAACAGGCTACTGTGGGTCTCACGGATTACATTCTGCGTGACAACTGGGTCACGCGCCTTCAAAATCACATCATATCGTAACAACACAAAGTCTGGGTACTGCGAAAACATTATTTTGCCTTTAGGACAATATTTCTCAGACTTCAATCCTATGCGAGACTGCTTTTATAGTCCAGGAAAGAACAGGTAAAATTTCCATAATAATACCAAAAAAGCGCAAACGAGACAGCTGGAAATAAACCCGTAAAGAATATTTGGCTTTGATGTGTTTGGGCAAATCATTATTTGTTCTATATATCCTAGCCATGAAAACGTTGAATGTCAAGCTTTGATACTAAAATAGAATGAATCCCACCCGCCATGCATGTGTGTAAATTTCCTTTAGAAACGCGAGCTTATGTTCGGTGTAGCTAGCGGCTTCTGTGACTCCGCAGGGATTTCAATAATCATAATTAAAAATCCCTTTTATCGGCTTTTACTAAATAAAAACAAAATTCTCCTATTCTGCGAGAACACTTGCTGCTTTTCTGGTTCAGTTGATAATTTTTCGTTTCATGCAAGCGGTAAAAGTTATGGGAACCGTTAATCTCGTACTGAGATCTGGAAACGTTGAAAACATTTCTAGCACCAAGGTGATATTTTTAGCACTGTCCGGCGGCTGGAAACCCGTGTGAAAAACCTCCATGGAATTCATGGAATTCCATGGATTTCCATGGAAAATTCTCCATGGAATTCCATGGAGGATTAGGACATCAATTTCCATGGAATTCCATGGAAATTTCTCCATAGATTTCCATGGAAAATATTTGCATGGAGGATTAGGACATTTCCCATGGAATTCCATGGAAAACATTAGGGCACAAATTTTCATGGAATTCCATGGAAATTTCTGCATCGACATTTTCCATGGAGGATTAGGACATTTTCTATGGAATTCCATGGAAAAGTTCCATTCAATTCCATAGAAACTACTCCATCGATTATTCCATGGATCTCCAGGGAGTTTCATGGAATTCACAGGAATTAGACATTTAAAATATCCAGTGAATCAAATGGAATACATAACAGATTTTGGTCCACTGCAATTTATTTAATGAATAAAAGGACCGCATAAATCTCTTTTTAAAGACATCAATCAAAACTTAACATGCTTTCGGAGGAAAATTTGACATACT